TGCCTACGATGTCCACGTAATGTATTTGGAGTTCGATGAGTTGTTGTGTTAAGATCACAACGTTGATCTTCAAAACGTGATTTTTGCATACGACATACAAGTTCAACTAATTCATCATGATCAGCTGGTAAAGACTAGAAAATAAAAATGTTAAAAATTTTGTTCTTTTTTTGAAATTATTTTTTACTTCTTTTCGTGGTCCTGATGGTGATTTTTTTCCAAGATGATGCATTAAATTTGTTTTTAAACTATATGAATTGAGTTTACTTTTTTTACTTTTATTTAATATGGATTTTTCATTTGTTGCAATACTATGTGAACCACTATGTGAACGTACATCATTTATACTACTACTAACACTTGCATTTGAATGTGCTGAATATGGACTGTGAGATGAGGTAATCGATGAAATATTATTTGTACCACCACCTTCAGATAGACTTATACTAATTGAATCAGTGCGTAAATTCTAAAAAACGAAAATAAAATAAAGAATTCGAAAAAGAAACAAACAAACTTTGAGCAAAGTATTTTTTGGTCCAGATCTTGTTGACATTGAAATTGTATCTTCTGTTGATTCATCAATCTAAATTGAATATATGTACTATAAGAAAATTAATAAATTAATTTTTACTTCTCGTGCAAGAGCTTTATAAAGACTTTCATATTTTTTAGATTTATCATGTTGATTAATTTTTTCATTTAATTGACTTAAAACATAATAAGCACGACATTGACCTATTGAATCTTCTAATTGTCGAGCTAAATTTAAATGTTTTTCATGAAAATAAATTGCTGTTTCATAATCATGTTTTAAAAAATAAACACGACCAATTGTAAAATTCATACGTGCCATAAATGATTCATCATTCATCAATTCACCAATATTCATTCCTTCTCTATTTTTATTACGAAAGCAAAAACAAAATTATTTATTTCATTTTTGGAAAATTAAATTCAAATACCTATAATGATTAAGAGCTTTATCGAAATCTTCTAAATATAAATAAGCATTGCCAAGATTTCCATGTGCACGACGTTGACCTGCTAGATCGTTACATTCTTTTGCAATAGTCAAACGCTATTTAAAAAAAAAAAACAAAATAAATTATTTTATGGAAAATATATATCTATAAATTGTTTCATACCTTATCAAGATACTCAATTGATGTTGAGTAATCTTGTAATAAATAGTTGACATTGCCAATATTACCTAGTGTTCTTCCTTCCGCCACTTTGTCGTTTAATTCCTTGTTGAGATCAAGATTTTGTCTATCCAAAAGCAAATAAATTAATAGAACAATCTTCTCTGTTTTTTGATCTATACTCATATGAAAATACTAGTGACAGGCACAAGAAAAATAACATATTTATAATAGAACACGAACAAGGATATATGAAACAACTAAAAAAAATGAGATATGTTTTATCTGTTGTATTACGATACATATGCGTAATAAACAGACACATACAACCACTAACATCCATCATACAATTATGCGAATAGAACACAATTGTTTGACATGTTCTATCTAAGGAAAAGAACAGAGTAATGAAACGCGAAGGCCTAGATAATACCGTTCTTCCACAAATGAACACTATCGCCATTTTATATGCACTCGTTAAATTGAGTGACGACAGTAACAACCAATCATGAGTGGCAAGAAAGTGAACAATGATGTCTTTTTTATGGGTGCATCGAGCTCTTTTCTCCCAATAGAATGTGTGAGAGTTTCTCAACTCTTTATCAATGTTATAGTCGCGTGAGATACTTTTAGATTGAAGACAATCATGAGTATTGATGCCCGCAATAACAAGAACAACAACAAAGAAAAACGACTATCAACCGTTTGTAATACGTAGTCTTTGTATACATAGATCTCTTATTTTCTATAAATAGTACTGCTCGTAAGTGTATTCATTTTCTGTTGCCTGCTCTCTATCTCTCATCGCCTCTCTTTTCTGACACTTATACAAAGAAGCAATCAGCTACTCTCATGCTTGTTGCCTTCTAGAAATCACTTGATTGCTTAGAAGTCATATTCGATTGTGCTAGCAACAATCAAAAATTTCTTTCTTTTTCAATGGATAATTAATAGGAGAAAAAAAAATGGAAAAATGAAGTACTCTATTCTTAGTCCTTATGCCAATTAATTCGACTTACGTGAGCTCTTATACTTATAGTTGTTCGTATTTAAGATTAAGCATCCGCTATTTCACACATTCGGCATTGTCTGATAAAAATCAGCTCTATCTTACTCACATGTAGGCTGTTTAGAACAGAGAAAACGAGTCTAAACATAACAAGAATGACAAAAAAGAAAACTAAGAGAAAGAACTCTTACTCGTTGTCGTTATTCTTCTGTTCAGACTAATTAGATTCTTGGAAGAGAGAAATATAGTGAATGTTGAGTGCATGTTCGACCGAAAAAATAGGACACAACACGAACGATATATAGAATTCTTTTCTTTCTTTTACGCTTTTTTTTTTCTCATTTATTATTGTCATCTCAACAAGTATTCAATCGCATAGGTGAACGAGAAGTTCCCCTTGAGGCTATTCATAAAAGGTAATTTATATGTATAACTTAGTTTTTTTGTCTTAAAATAATTTTCATATAGAAAATTTCCAATGAAACAAATTTCTATTTGTTATTTACATTTTTCTAATGAATGAAATTGATAATATTTCTTATATGATTGATTTTCTTCTTTTTTTTTTTTATTTTTTTTAGAAAACAACCGACAACAAAAATAGGATTCAATAATTCATGATAATCTTCTATGCAACTACTCGCTTGAGTTTTCGTCACTGATCGAATACAACAGACAAACAGATTAACAACATAAAAAGAAAAATAAAAGAAAAATACTCAGTCTCTTGCGACAGTTTTCTATAAAAAATATAGTGTACGATATACATGTCTATTTTATGTATATAACCCAAAGAGATTAAACCGAGCACGCACGATGCTCATCATTCGAGATTAAATTAAACTCATCTCATATACAGGCAGATAATTATCATTTTCTATAGTATATGCCTATGTGGATTTCCACGCCTACTCTACGAGCGTTCTTCAACTGTTAATATTTCGAAGAAGAATACAAAACAACTAAGATGCGTTCAATCATCCGATTTTTATCTTATTGCAGTAAAAGAGAATCTGAAACTAATAGTATTACTATAAAATATAAAATACATTATTCAAGTCTATAATATATATATATATATATATATGTATACCTTTATTTTTTTATTCTTACAGAAATAAAATAATCCAAATAGCAATATGATGGCCTTCGTTTTTCCTATTTATTGCTTCTTTTTTTTCCTTATTCACATTGACTCTCCCTTTTTTTTTTGTGTTTTATTCAACTAACCTCTCAAATAGATAGTTTCGGAGAGAGAGAGAGAGGGAGAAAGCGTGTCTGAAAAAAAAACAAAAGGGAAACTGAGCAGCTCTAACATATGAGCAACTCAAGAAAAGAAAAAGAAGTAAACGAGAATGAATGTAATGCACGCGGAAAATCTAACTGCATAAGAATGAGACAAGCAGAAAAATAAAAAAAATGTGTATGCGACTATCCATCCATCTATCATCATCATTATATCAATGGGCAAATGAGAGAAAACAAGAAAAAGATGAAATATATGTCTTTTTTTCTGATAATGGAAGAAAAAATTAGGCTAGAATAAATAACTATATATTCATTAATTATCAACATATTCGTAGTAAGAGATCAGCAAAATAAGATAATGAAAGAAGATTAGGTTTTTAATATTTTATTACATTCATTATCTATGAACTTACTCATAATAAATAATAGCTTTATTAAGTAATGTTCGAATATTATCATTCAATAAACCACCTGTTGAACAAAGTAATTCTTTAGCTTTTAAATGATATGTTAAACCCAAATAATAAAGTGCACGTGATTGATCTGATGAATCAAGAAATATCGATTGATGATGAGAATATTCTTGTTCTTGTTCTTGTTCTTGTTGTTTTGTATTCGGTCGATTTTCTTTTTTCAAACCATTAGGATATTTACGAGCAAATCTTTTATGTAATATAGACATAATAAATATAATATATTTTCCTACTTTTCAGAACAATGATATATGGTACATATAAAAAATACAGAATAGCTTTTTTTTTTGTTTTCGTTCCAATGATCAATTGTGCTTTGTTCAATTTCAAATGTATAATAACCAATCGTTAGATATGATGATGTACTCCATCTACAATACAATTTAGATAGAATATGAAGAGAAAATAAAAATTTTTCTCGACAACTTTAAAGAATAAAAATACGTCTTTGTTTTTCTTTTTTCTATGATTAATCTTGCTGAATTATTCAAATTTTTGTTCCAAAACTAGACTTTTATTCAATAATGTTTTTATGCAAATTTAATAGTTCTTGAGATAGAAATACTTCAATCGAGGAAAATAATGATGTTTTCCACTTAACACAGATTACTATAAAAACAATATAATCATACAAATTTTCTATCCAAGATTATTTAATATAGGCTCTCTAAAAGTTTTTATTATATGTAATTTGCTAACTGTGAAAGGACATGTGGTTAGGTCAAGAATATGGAACATATTTGGGTCAAATTAAAGGCCTTACTGACATATTAATAAATTTATTATAATAATCTACATATGACGTACATGGTTTAACATATTCGAATTTTAACGAGATTTATAGAAGTGTATCGAATAGATGAATAATTTAAAATCTCATCAGTCAGCTTTCTTTTGTTCTGTTATCGCTACGCTTGGATAAAGCTTTTCGAGCTATATAAGAAGAAATATTCTAATGTAAGTCGACAAACTTTACTCAACTATGACAAAAAAAGAAGAATATTAAATTGTGCGGAAATTTGAAATTTTTGATATATCCGATACATTCGTGTAAATACCTTGAAATTCAAATATCTTAGACCTGTACACGTCTTATTAGCAGCTCATATTTTAAACTTGTTAATTTGTCAGTAAGGCTTTTAATTTGACTTGAATATGTTCAATGTTTTTGAGTTACAACAAATATCCTTCGTGATCTTGATTTATAACATTGATAAAAAAAAATAAAAATAAAAATTCGGTCTTTAAACATTCTAGATATGGAAAAATTTAATTATGTGTCACAATTCATTTAGGTACAGAATAGATTACCAGCATGAAATATATCGATCAATCAATTGAATCTGTTTTTTCATTGAGTAAAAATCATTTATCATCAATCATGTCAAAAAAATTCTCATGTGATGAAACAGCCGCAAAAAAAGATCATTGTCTGGTTTCGAATTTCAATTCAAACAAATCAATACATTATTTTAATGGAATGACCAATCATTCTTGTTATTCCAGTATGATGTTGTTATTGTCAAACTTCAATTATCTCTGTACGAGTTCAAAACACAGTTCTCATATGTTCAAATAAATCTATTTGAATATTTTCCAGTACATTTTAAACACCATCAACCTGCATTCAGGACTAATCTTTGAAACATTATTTTTATTTCTAATTTTTCTAATTTAATTGTAAATTCAATATCAAACAAGTTAACCTTTATTATTAATTAAAATGATTAACTTTCATTACTTTCAAATTACTAATGTACACAATCAGAGAAAAATGTTCTAATCACGATTTTCCTTTGAATATTTTCATATCGATTTAAAAAACAACAAAATTCAACTATTTTGATCATACAAGATGCATGAAATCGCTTACAAAGACCACTATTGCATCTGGAAAACATCCATAACATTTGTTTTCACCCTATTTTTGACATACAGCACACATAAAGAAAGTCATTTGTATCTGCAAAATATGTCATCATGTTTGCACGCTTTCCAGATACAATAGTTTCCTTTTAAAGCATCTTCACACACTGTTTTTTTTTTCTTAGTGATAAAATGAGCTGATTTTCCTAAGGGACTTAGAAATATTCTCAAATGGAAATCATGATTAAAATATGTAAATGTATTTTCTTGAATTTTCTGCTTGAATAATTAAAATATTTTTATTATTCTCAGTGGATATTTGCTCTCGAAATATTTTAAAGTATATAAAACATTAAAAAAAAAATAATGTATTCTTTCCTTAAGATAAACAATTCCGTTTCCGATTCCGTTTTGACAAAATATAATAAGTTTTACTTTTTTCATATTGACTTTGTCGCAAAAAAGAATGATAAATGGTTAATTATTCTAAAGTTATTTTGCCCTAGATAATTCAGTTTTTTTATAATTTGATTATTTTGTTTTTCTTTTTCTTTTACACAAAAAATTATATTTTCATTTGATTAATAGCGTAAGATGTATTTATTTATTCTTTTTTAGATAGTCTATACATGCTCTTCAAGAGCAAAATTCACATAGAGACATAAAAAAGAAAGAAGGAAAAAGAAAAACGTGATATTAGACGAGACAAAATAAAGATGAATTGATTTGATAATATATTATCAGAAGATCAATCTAAATATATATATATATATATACATAGAAAATTATTTGTTTATATAAAAAAAAAAAGGTTTTTTTTTTGTTACTAACATTCTTTTATTGAATGCATAAATCTCGACGGTGATTGAGGAAAATTACGTTCACTCGTAAATGAATCTTGTCGAGATGGTACACTTAATCGTTTCATTGTATTAAAATTATTATTATCTTTATCATTTATATGTAATAATGAACTATTTGATGTTAACATTTTTTTTAAACGATTTTTTGATGATATTGGACTAAATGAAAATGTTCGACTAAGTCGACTTTTGGCTTTATATAAACTACTAAAAGAATATAAAAATAAATAAATCAATCATTGAATTAATCGATATCTTATAAAGAATGAACATCAGACAATTTTTATTGAATAAGACCCGTGTAATTTATATGACAAAGAAGTAATCTGTTCGATTATCTCGAAAAAATTTTGAATTGAAGATTAACATATAGTGAATTAAAATACTTGACCAGTTATGTTTTCAGAGTAACTCTCAGTCTTGAACTCTTTGTTATTTCAAAAAAAGATAATTTGAGACATATATGAGCATCTAGAGTCATAGAATTCTAAATTTAAATGGATTGTCAGAGATACTGCTTTTAGCATTTTTATTACAAGTTACGAGAACATCTCTGCAGGTGTGAAATTGCTTTTTTTGACCGAGGCGATGTTCATGTGATGAGTAATAGAAAAATTTAGAATGGTTTAGTTTTCCTGATCTTTGTTCTTTTTGTTGAAAAACTACTCTCGAGAACCATTCACCAATCGAACTGATGTTTTTCCAGCATTGACGAAAAACGTCGAAAGAATATAATCGAATAAATAAACATTTGCAATACACATAGGATTACTTTGTTAAAGACAAATTTATAATTTATGTGTTAATCTCCAATTCATAATCTTTTATAGAGAATCGAATGGTGTACTTTTTCATATGAATTATAAGTTTATACAATGAAAGTTAATAAAATTATCAAGAAAATTGTCTAATGTCTATTCTATACAGAATATCTGTTGTTTTTATTTTCATACCTTCTTAATGCACTACCAACTGAATTTAATCCACTACTCGTTGTTGCACTCATGGTTGAATGAGTTGATAATGTATCATTATCACTCATAAAATCCATTGATGAAAGTGGTGTAAATGCTCCATTTTCAGGTCCAACATTTTCAATAAGTGATGTCTAAATAAATAATTTAATGGGTGATACAGAAAGTTTCTTTTTAGACAAGATATGACGCGTCAAAAAGTATTTACGACAAGTTAAAAGCTATGATGATTTTGTGCTCTTTTCGAATATAGGCTTGGAACTTCTTTTTCTAGATATCTCAGATTTTCGCAAAAATTCGTATTGCGGAATCTTTGCACCTATACAGAGAACTCGATTAGACTAGATTTCATAAAAAAGAAATCACAAGTTTTGAATAAAGTCTCTTCGAGATATGAGACGTTTAAGATATAGACTTTTTTCTATGGATAGTGTATACATGCATTTTTTGAAAGCTTCATATCTCAAAAAGACTTTGTTGAAAACTTCTAAGTTGTTTTATGGAAGCTAGTCTAGTTGAGTTCTCTATATGAACAAAGTTTCAGATCAAAATTCGAAAATATGGATTTTTCGAGAACCTGGAAACTCTTGAAAAAAATTCGATAACTTAGGAAAATATCAATAAAAATCCTTTTCGAATTTTTATTAGAACATTATGTAATATCTATAGGCAAAAAAATCATTGAAATCAGAACGGAACATCTGAAGAGGTTTCTTTGTTAGTTCGATATCTCATTTCATAAAGGAGTATCCACCGTACAAAACAACTGATTCTGATAATTTTTCAGTTCTTTCAAAATGTTCTTCACTACTCTTGAACAAAATTTTCTAAGCTCATATTGGAAAAGTACAGAAAATTATTGCTTTTAACCCTGTCGTAAACATATTAAAAGTGAACAAACATTTTGGTCTAAAAAATTTTCTTCGATCATTCATTATTAATTTACTTTATCAAGAAGACATCGTTCTTCAGCAATAGCTTTAGCTAAATGATGTAAAACTTCTGTTTTACTTGTTTGATTTAAACTCGATATAGTTGATAGAGATGTTAATGATGTCATTGAATCGGTTAAATGTGAACGTGATATTGACATATTATTATTATCAGCAACACGAAATATTAATTGACGTGCTTGACCATCAATTGAACAAAGCATACCGAACTGTTCATTTTCTGTAAACAAAAAGAAAAATTTTGTAGACAAAAAAATTTTTTTTTTTATTTTTTTTTTCGTTTTACCATCACATGATGATGAAGCTATATCGAATAAACTACGTATATCACTAAGTTGAATTAGTGCAACATGTTTATATGATTTTGTTGATTTAACACCTGGTGTTTTCCATGTATTAACACGTAATTTAGTTATCTAAATGAATAAATTTAATAGAAAAAGGAAATATATTTTTTTTTGAGTATTAAATTCAATTTACTTCAATACAATCGGAGAAAAGAAAAAGTGTTAAATGTGTTCGTTTTCCAGTTAATTCTTGTGAAAGTTCAATT